GGACGATAGCTGCGCTCTGATTGGACGATAGCTGCGCTCTGATTGGACGATAGCTGCGCTCTGATTGGACGATAGCTGAGCTCTGATTGGACGATCGCTGAGCTCTTATTGGACGGTGGCAGAACTCCGGACGATAGCTGCGCTCTGATTGGACGATAGCTGAGCTCTGATTGGACGATTGCGGAATTCCAATTGGACAATAGCTGCGCTCTGCTGGGACGATAGCTGAGCTCTGATTGGACGATAGCAGAATTCTAATTGGACGATAGCTGCGCTCTGATTGGACGATAGCAGAATTCTAATTGGACGATAGCTGCGCTCTGATTGGACGAAAGCAGAATTCTAATTGGACGATAGCTGCGCTCTGATTGGACGATAGCAGAGCTCCAATTGGACGATAGCAGAATTCTAATTGGACGATAGCTGAGCTCTGATTGGATGGTGGCAGAACTCCGGACGATAGCTCTGCTCTGATTGGACGATAGCTGCGCTCTGATTGGACGATTGCAGAACTCTGGACGATAGTTGTCCTCTGATTGGACGATAGCAGAGCTCTGATTGGACGATAGCAGAGCTCTGATTAGACGATAGCAGAACTCTGATTGGACGATAGCAGACCTCTGATTGGACGATAGCTGCGCTCTGATTGGACGATAGCAGAACTCTGATTGGACGATAGCAGAATTCTCATTGGATGATAGCTGCGCTCTGATTGGACGATAGCTGAGTTCTGATTGGACTGTAGCAGAACTCCGGACGATAGCTGCGCTCTGATTGGCCAATAGCAGAACTCTAAACGATAGCTGTGCTCTGATTGGATGATAGCAGAGCTAATTGGACGATAGCTGAGCTCTGATTGGACGATAGCTGCGCTCTGATTGGGTGTTAGCAGATTTGAATAAAATCCGTTAGGGTTTTTTGTGATGTCTGTTTTTACTCGACCACCATCATCTATGTTATGTCTTCACCATGGTCACATCCTCTGTGCTCCTATTGGTTGATGCCTGATGGTAACCGGCAGCCATCTTGCTTGTTTCCCCCGCAGGGTGTGGCAGCGACGGCGGTGGCCCCTGAGGGCGGGGCATCTCTGGCCCTCAGGGCTCTGGGTTGGGGCTCCCTGTTTGCCTGGTGTGGCGTGGGTCTGATCAGCTTCACTGTGTGGAAAGCTCTCGGCGTTCACAGCGTACGTTTTATTTTACCCACAATTCACTCTGTTTCACCTGCAACATAAAACATGTTTTAAACTGAAATATTTCTTACCAGTCCTCTCTGGTCCTCCTTCAGTTGGCAGAGTTCAGGGAGAAGATGCGGTCCTTCTTCCCGGCCATCCCAAAGAACCCTGAGGCTGGAGCCGGATCAGAACCTGTGGACTGGGACTCTCTATTCAGGTCCAAGTGACTCGGATCAGCAGGAGAGACTGAAGAAATGTGATCCAGAACGGAGTTTCAGGACCGGTCAGAGACAGAACCGAGTTCCTGTGCTGCTCTGAAGTCCATGTGGAGGAACGTGAGACGGTTCTGATGCTGGAATTCTGCTTTGAATCATCAAAAACTGCATCAGATGTTTGAGCAGAACCAAAAACAGTTTGAGTGAAGTGTCCCTCAGAGGCCACCGTACAGAAAACTAAACTTATTTATATTTGTTGGATCGTTAAAGTTCTGAAGATTTATTCTCTGATTTCCTGTAATCAAGACAAATAAATGTTTTGACGTAATGTTTTTTAAATAAATCCTGAGTTAACACCCCCGGTGTGTAAAAAGCAGCCTGGTTGTGTGTTCACAGTGCTCAGAGTTCATGTACGTTTATTCTTTAACGTGTCGTGGAACATATAAAGATCTCATACAAGAGAAACTTTTTTTTTTTCTCTCTTTTTACATTTCTTACAACGGTTTCTGACATCAGGTCAACAGGAGTAAAGTCCCACCCCCTACTTCCTGTAGACATGTGGCCCCACCCCTCCAGATCAGACCCCAGGTGCTGCTGCCAACGGCGCCATCTGCTGGAAAACTAATGTACATTGTCTTTTTACAGGAAAGAGTTGTTCAACAGAAATGGACCCCCTGACCCCCCAGTGGTGAAATACTGGTGATCGAACTGCACACAGTCCAAAAATTCACATTTAAAAACAAACTTATTGCACCAGAACAAAGAACACAACTGAACATCAGCGTTTCCTCCGTCAAACCCAGATTTATCTACAACCTGTCCGATTAAATAAACCACGCCCACCTCAAACTGACCCCGCCCCCTCAGAGCAAACAAAGAAATGACCAGAAACCTGAGCGTCGTAACACTTTGGTTCAAACAAAACAAAACTGACAAATAATGTTTAAAAAATAAAAAGTATTAAATAAATTTCATTTTTTAAAAGTCAAATAAAAGTTTGTGGGCGGAGCTAAAGATATAGATTTTCTATATAGAATCATTTGTAAAAACCTTTGTTTCTGTTCCTTAAATAAAGATAGGACCCGGTTGGTGCGGTGGTGCCAGCCCCACTGAGCGGTGTTGGTGTCACGAGCGGCTGAGCTTGAACAGTACTTCGCACATGACGGACGCCACAGCCGGGCTGAGGGCGGCGGACAGCGAGATGTCCAGCAGCCGACTCTCCAGCAGGACGAACTCCTCCCGGTTCTCCTCCACGCTCGCCAAGGACAGCAGCGCCTTGGCGGCGCGGCACATCATGTTGATGCTGGGCGGCTCCGGGGGCGGCGTGGCGTGCAGCAGGCTGTGAGGGTTCTGCTGGTACTGGGCCACGGCCAGGCTGTCCTCCAGGAAGCCGATCAGAGTTCCCACGCTGCCCTTCTGCAGGGCGATGGCCCGCGCCGCCGTGGGGTCGCCCCGCGCCAAGTTGGACAGCGTCGCCACCGCCATTTCCCGGCACACCTGGCTCCGCCTCTCGCCCACCAGGCGCAGCAGGGCGGAGAAGAGCCGCTGCTGGCGGCTGAAGGGGGGTGTGGCCAGCAGCAGGTCCACGTTGCAGTCCTGGACGCTCAGCTTGCAGAGACACTCCAGGACGAGTCTCTGCGGCGTGAGCGACGAGAAGCCGCCCGCCGAGGAGAACGGGTCCTGGGCCTCGGCGGACGGACACACCATCCAGTGCAGCAGTCCGTCCAGGATGGGCAGGCAGATGGTCTCGGGGTACAGGGACAGGTCCAGCTGGCCCGCGATGTTGGCCAGCGTCACCAGCGTGTTCTCCCGCAGCGCCGCCAGGCAGCTCCACCACCACTCGTCCCGGCTGCAGGCCAGACCCTGCTCCTCCTCCCGCTGGTAGGTGGGCGGCGTGCGCTTCCTGACGGGGTGGCGGTGGTGCAGCAGCACCAGGCGGCCCAGGATCAGAACCAGGCCCGGGTGGCGGGACAGGACGGCGTCGTTGCCAGGGACAAAGGACAGGTTCCTCATGATGTTGGAGATGCAGACGCAGCGTTTGGCCACAGAGTCCTGCCAGGACTCGGCCGTGGACAGCGGCGCCTCGTCCCAACACCGCGCCTCCTCCTCCAGCTGGCTGAGGGGAGACGTCCTCTGACCTTTGACCTCAGGCTGTGGACCTGCAGGGACACAGAGGCAGGAATCAGAACTTAGACCTGGTCTAACCTGACCGTCCATGTTGGATGGGTAAATAAACTCAGGACTTCACCTCCTCGTTCTTCAGCCCCCTCCTCTCCTGGTCCCCCCTCCATCAGGTCTGGATCTGGTGGGGTGAAGTCTCCTGTTGGAGGCTCAAAGTGCGTGTGGATGTGAGCTGTGGAGTCTCCTCCTCCGGCCCTCCAGTGCAGGAGGCCGCTGATGAAGCCGTTGGGCCGGTCCAGTCGGGCCCAGCGCTCCTCCACCTCCTCCCACCCCTCCCCCGTCTCCTCCACTTTGATTGGCAGTTTGTCAAACTTGCTGCTCTGTTGGGGGCGGGGCTCCGTGTCCTCCTGGACAGGTTTGCTGTCCTCCCTCTCCTCAGGAGCAGCTAGCAGAGGCACCTCCTCAGCCTGACCTTCAGAGACCGGCCCCAGCAGGGTCTTCTGGGCCTCGGCCCCAACCTCGTACTCCTCCAGGATGCCAAAGATCTGAATGAGGCAGCGGCGGTAGAACTCCACAATGAGCTCCAGGAAGCCGGTCAGCTGCAGGAACAGGAAGTGGTTTGTTTAGATCCAAAGACCGTGGCGGAGGTTTCACCGTACGATGTTTCAGGTGAGACTCACCTGAGTCAGGTTGAAGGAGCCAGAGGTGCTGTCGTCATACAGCAGGATGTTGATGGTGTCCAACGCCCACGTGCTCTCTGCCAACAGCCCCGACTTCAGTGACATCATCACTCGCCACGCCTCCGGGGTTCCTGACCAATCAGATCACAGAGTGAGGCTCAGGTGTGTGTGCGTGTTTGTGTATAAATGTGTGCGTGTGCGTTTGTGTATAAACGTGTGTGTGTGTATAAATGTGTGCGTGTGTGTTTGTGTATAAATGTGTGCGTGTGTGTTTGTGCATAAATGTGTGCTTGTGTATGTGTGCATAAATGTGTGCGTGCTTGTGTATGTGTGCATAAATGTGTGTGTGTGTGTTTGTGCATAAATGTGTGTGTGTGTGTTTGTGCATAAATGTGTGTGTGTGTGTTTGTGCATATATGTGTGTGTGTGTTTGTGTATAAATGTGAGTGTTTTTGTGTATAAATGTGTGTGTGTTTGTGTATAAATGTGTGTGTGTTTGTGTATAAATGTGTGTGTGTTTGTGTATAAATGGTATAACTGTGTGTGTGCTTGTGTATATAAGTGTGTGTTTGTGAATAAATGTGTGTTTGTGAATAAATGTGTGTGTATAAATGTGTCTGTGTGTGTATAAATGTGTGTGTGTTTGTGTATAAATGTGTGTGTG